TTCCTGCCTTTCATTTTGTTTTCATTAAGATATATGGCACAATTAAGAATAATTGAAACCTTTAATTGTGTGTGGAATACTCAACATTTTTTATAATGGAATTTTAGAGTTTTTTTTTTTTTTATATGTATCCAGATTTCATCTGGAAAATTTTAAGTATTTGTATACTCTGTCTCCTTTTTATACAACATTTTTCTAATGTGCTTGTTTTTTGTTTTTTATTTTTTTCCTGTTATTTGCTGCTTTTTGTTTTGTTTTTAGCTTTGTATTTTTCTGTTTTAGAATAGAAAATGAAATTTTATTCACTGCAAGTGTAAATTCACTAGCCTTGAAGAATTCTATTTTCTGTGATTAGTGCAAGTTGCTAACTCTTGGAATTTTGAAATGTTTTCTAAAGTTTTTTAGAACCTGAGAAGTTGTATTTTTAAAACCAATGTTGTATTTGCACAAGATTAGCTATCATATTTTCGATAAGCAATTTTTCAAAAGTTTAAAAGTTATTTGTTTGATATTAATGTGCTATTTAAATCTTATACACAATATTAAGTAGACGAGTGAGTCAACATTAAAATTGTTGAAAGCATCTGTGAAATTCTCTAACTTGTTGAATCTCATTGCATTTTTACTTTTCTGTTTAAGATTATGTGAAAAACCTGTTAGTCAGTTGTTATATAAGATATTTACACATTTGTACTATTCTTGTTCACTTAAGGAATTCTATACCTGTTGAACATGACTTTCAAATATTGTGAATATGTGTATATATACATTTGCTCAATAAATATTCTGCTTATCAAAGGAAAATCAAAATTTCTTTTCTTGTAGTGTAGTTTATTTTTAATGTGTAAGAATTTTTAAAAATATTTGTAGAACTAATAGTAATGTTTATGAAGTTATATGTATAAGGCTGTACATATTGTTCTGTGTTAGATAGTTTTCAATGACTAAATAAAAAAGGCTTGTAATGTTGATTATAATTTGAAACTTGTTTTCCTTCAGTATCAAATGAGTCCTTGGAAAATTAATCAGGGATAGTAAATGTTTAATTTAATTAGATGTTTATTTCTTAAATATCATAAAATCCTGCGTATAATGCGCACTTTGAACACAAAATATAAGATTGAAAATTAAGGGTGCGGGTTATACGCCGGGTATAAAAACAATAGCTTTAAAAATGACAAAGGATGGGCAGAAAAAAATTTACTTCTAGATGTATCGAAACACTCTTTATTTAAACGTAACGACTAGCCTTATGAATTACAAGAGTTGTAGTTCTAGAAGTATACTATTTTTTCAAAAGTCTATCATAATACCTCGAATAAATTACTTCAAAACATAAAAAAAATGTATATTAATATTTCAGATTTCTTTGTTAAAAAGGGGGTGCACGTTATATGGCGAATATACCTAAAAATTAAAAAAATTAGCTTGAAAGTATAGGTGCACGTTATATATATACACCAGTGCACACTATACGTCAGATTTTATGGTATATTAAGTATTAATTTAATTTTTTGAAAAAAAATGGGTTTTAAATGTTTGCTTAAAAAGGATTTAATTATCATTAAAGATGGAATACTATATGAATTGGGAAGATTTTAGAATGTGAAGTGTTCAAAAAAAGTATTTTTAAGAAACAATTCTTTTATCTTTTCAAAACTACAAAAATGAATGATTTTGTCCATGTACTACTGTTTGAGGTTTCAGTTTTACTCGTGTTTGTGAAGGCTTGTGATTGTTTTTGAAACATTTGCAGTAATGCAATATTTGGATGATGGGTTACAATTGTGAGCAGTTAGGAGATTGGAGACAGGTCACTCCTAAGCAAAAGTAACTAGATTGCTCAGTGTGGTCTAAACTGTAATTTTATGAGTGTAGAACATTTTCAGGAGACCAGAGTAATGTCTAAAAGACCAGTTATAGGGTGTCCAAGAACCATCACAAGCCAGGATGAACACTCATGGACATTAATTACAAAGTGCATTAGAGGGTGACAGCTACTCAACTTGCATATGAGCTCTCTGCTATTTCAGGTACTTCAGTTTTGATGTACCAAAGACTTGATAAGTCAGGGCTTTATGTCAGAGATCAATTATCTGTATCCCATTCTCTAAGTCACAGAACATTCTGCTTGACATGGTGCAGATAACATTTTTGGACAAGGGAAAGCAATAAACTAGAGCAGAGGTGGCCAGAGAAGAGTACCACTATTTCATAAAAAAATCATGCATGCCATTTCCAACAATCAAAATAGGAAAAGGGAATAAATGAATGATGGGTTTATTATGGGATTTTTATGTAAATTGCACATATCTACAAGTCTATGTAGTCAAAATTTAAAAATATTGGGTTGGAGGGAAAGTTCTGTTGTATTTTAAATAGGCAGGTGATTTTTCTTGTAAATAAAAAAAAAAACATCTGGCTAGTGAGTCATTCGGATTTTTTTTTTTTTTTTTTTTTTGTTTTCTTAGCTGCTGTATAATATAAAAGGAGTCTTTTTTTACCATTCATCATGAACTTGTGATATTTAAAGTGAAAAACATGTTAGTAGATAAAGTGCATTTATGACACTGCATTTTGTACGAATTCCAAAAAGGAAGCAACGCATCGGTTGAATGTAAAAATTTATGTGCGGTATTTGGAAAGGATATTGCAAATGTTCGTACTTGTCAAAGATGGTTTAGCGAATTTTGCGCCGAGGATCTGAGCCTCCAAGAAAGTGATCGATCTGGACGACCATCCAAGATCGATATTGATGTTTTGCGATCCATGTTGGAATATAATCCACATTTAACAAGTCGAGAAATTGCAGAAGAGTTTGGCATTCATCATACAACTGTCGACGATAACATTAAATCTCGGGTTTGTGTTAAAGCAAAGTGTTTGGGTTCCACATGAATTAATGGAAAAGAATTTGTCTGATCGTGTAAGAATGTGTTCATCACATCTCTGATTAGACACAATATGGAGCCGTTTTTCGACAAGCTGATTACTGGAGATGAAAAGAGGATTCTTTACGAGAATATTAAGAGAAAAAAAAATCATACTGCAAACCAGAAACATCAGCAACAGTTTCAAAACCAAGTATCCATCAACGAAAAGTACTGCTTTGTTTGTGGTAGGACAGGAAAGGGGTCCAGTGTACTACAAGTTGCTAAAACAGGGGAAACCCTCAACGTGGATTTGTAATGCAATCAGCTGGATAAATGGAATGCAGTTATCAAACATAAAAGACCAGCATTAGCGTACAGAAAAGGAATAGTGTTCCACCACGATAATGCTCTACTGCATACTGCAATGGTGACACAACAAAAATTGAATGCGTCACAATGGGAAGTCCTTGGTCACCCACCGTATTCACCTGACATTGCACCATCTGATTATTACCTGTTAAGATCTCTGCAAAATTATCTAACAGGAAGAAAATTCAAGTCTTTTGAAAGTGTTTCTAAGGCAGTTGTTGGCTATTTTAACTCCAAGGACGAGAACTTCTACAAAACAGGAATTCATAGGTTACCCGAAAGATGGCAACAAGTTGTACCAAATAACGGAGCATATATAATTGATTAATATTAAACACATATTTTTATAAATGAATTCAAATGTTTTCTTTAAAATACGACAGAACTTTCCCTCCAACCCGATAATATATAATAAATAAGACAAAAGTACACACACACACAAACTTAAGATTTCATTGTTAATAAACCTCTTACAAATTCAATTAGTTAAAAAAAGGGAGCAACTGGAATCATTTAATTCAAAATAATCATTAAAAGCTCAGCACAAACTTATGAGGTTTTTGTGAATTACTACTTTTATATATATACCATCTAATTTATATTAGGATTAGCTCTTACAGATGCTAACATAATCATGTTATTATTGATGCACATCAGCTAGTTTTGAGTGATATTTATTTTATAGGGTTTGCAATGCCCGGTTATATTTTCAATTTTGGTATTACATTATTCAAATCTCTGGATTAGGATTGGACTATTTATTAAAAATACTTATACATTTAGCATGGTTCAAACTGAAAATATGTAAATAAAAATTCGATTTAATTTATTTGATTTAATAATTTGTTTCAGAAATAAATTTAATTTTATTGGAAAAACTTAATTCATCATACAAACAAATAAAAATAGTATGAAATTAAAAAAATATTTCATTTATTGTGTTTCTGTAAATAAGCTTTTAAAAAACACAGCTCGTCCAGCGTTTCATCGTTCAAATGGATTCAAATTTTTGTTACAAAATTGTCCTGCTGAAGAAAATGCTCGTTCAAATTCTATACTAGTAGGTGTTATCATCATTAAATAGGAGTAAGTTCTGTTCAGGTAGTCACCACGTCTCCCTCCATTTTCAAAAAAGACGTTTCTTTTTACAAACTTTTATTTATATAACTTTCATTGTAAAATGTTCGGGTGGAATCTTGCAACTCAATTTTGAAGCTGATGTCTTCAAACCAGTGAGCTAAAATTTTGTATACACGTTTAGTTTGAATGACAATGCATGTTTTGTACATTTATATTCCAAGATCGCAATTAGTTAAACAGATATTAATTAAAAAAATTTTACCCATGTTAGAAGCTTGCTTTACTTCTTTCCACCAGCCCTCGTGGCTTAGAGAAGCTGACTTCAAAGGAATCACCCAGGGTTCGATTCTCGGGAGCTCGCGCAGTTCTTAAAATTACTTTAAATCCTTTTAATTTTCATTCGAAAATTATTTCTCTTGAACAAATTTAAATTTCCACGTTCTTTCCTATTTGTTTACAAGCGTTTCTTTCACTTTCAATGTAAAATGTTCGAGTGGAATCTTGCAACTCAATTTTGAAGCTGATGTCTTCAACTGATTGAGCTGAAATTTTGTATACACATTTAGTTTGGATCACAATGCATGTTTTGAAGATTTATATTCCGTATCGACCTAGTTACTGTAACGATCTTGTTTAAGTGTTAAGGCGAGCATGTTTACAATAACACAGGTGTTGACCAATAGTGTAGCTCAGATGGCAGAGCATTTGCTAAGCATGCGAGAGGTTCGGGGATCTATACCCCCGCGCTTTCAATATTGTTACTTTTTCGTATACATTATTTTTGAAATTCGTTTAATTTGGTACAACGAGATATATTTTACAGTACTTCCACTCTGCATACGTACAAAGAATGTTATATTTTTACTGTTCTACAGGGAACACGAAGAGAAAGACAGATTTATCAAACTATTTCTATTCAGTTTGAAACATTCTGAGATATCTATTTACTTGATTCTAGTTTCTCCCGTAACACTTATAATTGACCTAGTTACTGTTACGATCTTGTTCAAGTGTGTTAAGGCGAGCATGTTTATAATTACACAGGTGTCGACCAGGAGCGTAGCTCAGATGGTAGAGCGCTCGCTTAGTAGGTGATAGGTACAGGGATTGATACCTTGCGCCTCCAATTATAATTTTTGCGTTTCGTGTAAAATATTTGATTTGTACTATGAGATATTTTACAATACTTCTACTCTGTACACATACAGAGTATGCTGTATTTTACAAGCTTTTATTTAAATTGCAATGCAAATCCGATGTCTTCAACCGATTGACCTGAAATTTTGTATACACGTTTAGTATGGTTGACAATGCATGTTTTGACCATTTATATTCCGAAATCGCATTTAGTTAAAAAGGCTAGCTGCATAGCCCGGCGTTGCACGTGCTTTCTCTACTTTTATAAATTTTCCTTTTCCTTCGAAAAATAAGCACTTCTCTAATAATCTTTTTCAAAATGAATTCCAACCTCCCCCTCCTCCTCCGCATAGGCCGATGTTGCTTAGGCTGTTACCTAGTGTATAACTTAAAATTTCCTGTTTCGAAATTTTTCCGCTTCTTTTCTTTGTCAGACAGGTTTACTTCCTCCCGGCGTTGTACGAACATTTTTAAATGCATAACATATTGGCATGGAAATTCCCTTTCTCCTGTCGTTATCAGAGCCCTCGAGAAAGTGAACATTAAACGATTCTTAAACAGCTTGGCATCTGCAGCACTCTAGTGGCACAAAAGGTAATGAATTATTGCACAAAAAAATTCATAAAAAAAGTTTTCGGCATTTTATTTTTTAAATCACTAACTGTTGAAAGCAAAGTATGAGTTTTTTAAAAATCAATTTCATATAAACGCATTGATAGTGATTCATTTTAGAAAAAGTCATATGGAAAGTATCGTTGTTTTGGAAAAAAGAAAAGAAAAACATACTGTATCGTGACGAAATAAATCTTCTTTCCAACTACAAAATTGCTGGCGAAGTTATTAAATGCGGGAATAAAATTTTTAGTATTTTTTAAAACAATCATAAAACTAAGCGATGGTGTTGTTTATAACCCTGGGACAAAAGTTAATAATCCAGCGTTCTAACGGTGGTATTCTCAATCGCGAGTTATTGAAAAGAAAACTCGCGGATTGGGTAACCCCCACTTGACGATAACTCCCGAGTAATTCCCTTTTCTTATTCTCGAACTGACGATTACCGGATCCGAGAGTTACGCGTTCGCGAGATGTTAAACTCGTTGTGATTGGACACTGATAATCACGTGGTATATTGTTTACATGTATCTCGGCGCAAGACATTCGATTCACAGCTATTTTTTTCTTCTCATGGCTAGTACGCCAAATAAAAATAAATTTTCTCTAGTGGAATCTTATTGAAAAATCGAAGATGTTATTCATTGCAAAATAACCAGCGCAGTTTACAATAAGAAAAAAGAAAAAGCACGGGATTGCTTGACTACTGATTTCACTCCAGGCAGCCTTTCCAAACGAAGTCGATAAGAGCTGCAAAATAAAAAATCGCAAAAACGAAACTTTAAAATGTTTAAACTTGTAAACAAAACTGGTGGAGGAACCAAAAGTTACTGACCACATCGTTAGATGAATTGCTGGCCGCTATGGGTGCCTTCATTGAACGATTGCCGTATAGATACGATTGAAACGACGATTATGATACTGCTGTTTTATCAGGAACTCAGGGTAAGTGTACATGGATTTTTTTTTGTCTTTATTTAGCTTTTGATTTAAATTTTCCGTAATATTCTGAATAGAATTTTTTGATAGTGATTTGTGTTTTATTACATAAATGAACTCTAATATGAATCACATTATGAAATGTCGAGTAAAAGAATCAATAATTGAACAAAATTTCTTTTCCAAATACAATTTATAATTAGTGTTGCATCTTAAAGCAATGTGAGGTCTATTTGCAATGAACTTCATCATTTGAACATCTGTCAAATATCAAGGACAACACACCTGAATTAGTAACTCATTCTAAATTGCCACAGTACATCAACCTGTGGGCTTTTAACGATGACAGATTTCAGGTTTTCAGAGGCACCAAACTCGATGGCTATGAATTTGTGACCACGGCCCCTTGTCTATTGTGCTCACAAATATTTGATTAGAATTATGTAAAGAAATAACTCAGGTTGTGTGTAAAATGTATGTGTATTTTTTCTAAAAAGAATAAAGATGACATGCACATCTTTTGCACATATATAAGAGAAGATGTAAATTATTACACCTAATTAAAATGATTAAAAAGAATTAACTTGCAAAATCATGGATTTATGTGTTAAAGTAATTATCATTGTTTAATGTGTACAATGAATCAAACTTGAAAATGTATAATGTGATTTCTCATTAAATTATAAACTGTGCATAATCCCCTTTATTATATGAAAATTTATGTATAATGAAGGACTTACAGAAAAGTAAAATTATTTTAAAAAAAGTAGGCAATAGCTTACTAAATTTCTTTTCGATGAATAAGATTTATTTTAGTGGAATAATTTGTAGTGTGGTAAAAAATTAATGTATCAAAAGCGGTAGTGGCATATTTAATATTAAATTAACAATACTAATGTATGCATTTTAAATTATACTAAATAATATAATTTATGTAATTTTTCTAAATTCTATCATTTATTGCAGCAGAAACTAATTGAAGAAACATCCGACTTCTCTATTTCTCATCCGACTATGCTTTCTTGTGGAAAAGTCACTAGTTTTTGAAGAAAATGAACTTTATTGTCATTTAAATAGTCAGATTTCATTTTATTACTATTTATTATTATGGCTGGAATTTATTGTATTGTTTGCTTGATTTTTTTAAAAGTATGAAGATGTCATATTTTTTTATAATGAATTTTAACTTCAATAAAATTTATTATACCTATTTTCAAAATGTAAAAAATATGTTCACAAGTTTTCAGAATAATTTCATTTTTTTTAAAAAATTATATTTAGTATTTTTATTTTAATTTACTTACTATTAGTTACTATAATAACTAATTGAATAAGGTTTTTTTTTTTTTAAGTGAAAAGTTAAAAAATGTCATTAGGAATAGTTAGTTTTGAATTTTTTCTGCTATCAAAATATTCTTTTCTGAAAAATTCTAAATATTTTGTATATGTAAAATTTGTTTTCTGTTCTATATTGTAAAACATTGGTAAATGTGTGTGTATATATAATGTTTTGTGACAAATAAAATCAGATTAATACCAATAGTATAATTACTTTTGTTAGATGGAATTGGAAAAGATTCAGTAACATGTTCTGTTTTAGATAAATGTAACTTTAGATTCAATTAACAAATTTATTCTTCACAAAAAAACTGGATTTTTCATTCTAAGATTTTATAGAAATCATATTATTAGACATTAGAAGTAATTTAAAAATTAATGATTATATACATAATAAACATTCTATTTTAACCTACCAAGGGTTGCTGGAAAATTTTAAATAAAAGAAATATATATAAGGATATATATACTCGTATACAATCAAAATATAAATCGAAATTTTAAAATAATACGAGTTTTGTGAATTCTCTTTGTATAACATTAAATCATAACATCAAACGTAATTTTTAGCTGAATCATGAAAAAAAAAGTGTATTGAGAATTGCTAACGTTGTTCCTATGTTAAGGAATGAAAACTGGCCTTCTTTCAATACTTTCCAATGTTTCTAAATCCTCAAACAGAAAAAAATAGAAGTGGTCGTCCATATTTCTTTACAAATCCGTGAGTTACCCTCCGAAATCGGCGAGTAG